TTCATTAAAGCCTGGGTCTAGGTAATTTGTATTTTTAAAAATCTTTAAAATTTAAATTATAGATCTATATTAGAGACACCCATACGTAATATACCTATATACATAAACGTATTACGAAATATTATAATTAATTAATTACCTGAGTACTTATGTAGTCGTATTCGTGGGTATGGGGTTGAGTTCGATGCTCGAAGTCACTGCGGTATATAATATACATATGTATATTACGTATCTTGATTTGTATATTTAATAATTAGTATATTAAGAGATATTTTTTGGTTAGTTCCATGTATAATATTGATGTGATTTGAACACTAATATTATATGAATTTGTTATCTATGATTTGGGACTTGACAATTATCGTATGCTCTTAGAAATTTCTACATCCGCAGCAATCGTACATAGTCGACTGGCTAACCGAATGTAATTTAAGTTAAATGAGCACTTAAAATTACGCTTACGTTCTAAATAAATAAGTATGATTATGATCAAAAAATAATTAAATAATATTAATACGTGTCTAAAATTATAACTACGTTATTATAATACGACGATAGTGACAGAGTCTCGTATTGTAAGGGGGTGGATAAATATATAAATTTAAAAAAAAACAAGGTGAATTTGTTGAGTAATATGGGATAATTAATTGGATGGTCATACCGAATGCTGGAATAACTCAATATACATACACATATAAACGCACTCGCTTTGAATGGCAAAAGTATTGTCGAAGTGGACGTGGACGTTGTGCATCGGGTCGTCTTGTGGAAAAAACTGGTGGCGAGTCGATCCCGAGGGTTCTTACTCCTTATATAGTTATATAATATGATTTTGGTGTAATCCCTTCTTCTTTCACGTATAAATGTATTTATGATTTTGTCTTCAGCGGTATGACAAAGGTGCCGCTGGTAATTTATTGTGTTATTATGTTCCAACGTCTTGATCGGAAAATTTTCGACGGGGTCTTGGAAGTATATGAGTTACAATGCGGTGTCGTCTGGCGCCGTTGATAATTGATGATTTTGTTTTTACTAAGCGTCTGGTCGAGAGCTGTTAAACATTATTTATGTTTTGCATGTGTCATGTGTGTGTACGAGGGTGCGTAAATATATGCCTAATGCTTATATATTATGTATATTTAGTATGTACACTGGGTCAACCCACACTCCATACGGACCGTCGAGTCGCTATTAGTTATTCTGTGTTTTTATTTAAGTATAGCAATATAATATATTTCAAATTGCACACAAATTCGATTTTGCACTGTGTCCCCACAGTGCCTATTACAAGTTAGGTATCTTATAAATTTTATTGACATTTGTTATACAGTATAAAATGTGTTAAGTTTTACATTGATGAGTATTGTTATATATGTTATAGTACCTATATGATATTTTGTCATATTTCACAAATTTACAAATATATGTATAGGTATGTATATAATTAGATTAATTTTACAATATTAGCAAGTTATGATTTTAATATGTAGATTGATTTAAATATTTGTATTATATACTATTTGGAGATAATTATATAATGTTGAAAATCTATTTTTGATGGTGTTTGAAAAAAAAGGTATTTGAGTAGAGATAGAGAATACAAATTTATTTTAAGAATTGATATGTATTTGTTATACAATGTGTTTTTGACATCATATGAGTTGAATTTTGTATACTTTGTTTTGACAGATTAAATTAATGGTATAGTGTACCTATATGATAAGATGTTGTAAATTTATAATTTAATTACTACTTAAAGGCTATTTAGTACAAGTTAATAAATTTTCCTTGATATTATTTAACGATATAGTTAGTTTTACAATATGTTGAGTTTGTTTAGCTAGGTACTTTAAATTTATAATATACTCAAGTATGATTTATTAATAATTATGATTTGGTTAGTATTGATAACAAAATGGAATAAGGTTTGTTGTACATTTTTTAAACACGAAATGAACACAACATTTTTATAAACGTAATAATATATATTAGTTATGGGGATAGGAGTGAAATTAAAGAAATGTGTATATTTTGAATTTGTTATTGTGATGATGTTCTGATAATAAAATATATTAGTTATGGATTGTCCAAATTAACATTTTCGCAATTATTCTTCTGCAGACATTTAGCACGTAATTCGCATGACCTTCCTCCCCTCCAAAAACAAAAAATTCATTTTTTGTCAAGACAGATTTTTTATTCAATCAAGATATTTCCCATTGTACTATTAGGATATCTTTTTATTAAATACAGTTGTCTATTAATTTTTTTATTTAATATGGATTGTATATTAAAAACAGATTTTTTTTTATTAACTACAGGTGTTTTAATAAAGTTTTTTTTATAGATTTTTTATTCAACTAAGCTTTTTTTTAGGTTATACGCACTATTGTAATTAAATATTTTTCCAAGCTTACCATTACAATCTTGATTGAAAAAAAAACCTAGTTGAATAAAAAAATCTATTAAAAAAAAGCCTGAGTAAATTACATTTAGTTAATAAAAAAAAATCAATTTTTAATAAACAATCTATAATAAATAAAAACTGTATTCAATAAAAAAATAACGTAAGTAGAATAGAAAAAATCTTGATCTAATAAAAAGTCTATCTTGACAAAAAACTTTTATAAAAAATTTGATTGTATACAAAATCCAAAAAAAATCCTTCGTAGAATGCCTATAGTTAATAAAAAAACAATCAATTTTTAATAAACAATCTATATTAAATAAAAATCTATATTTGATTAAAGAATCTATATTAAACAAAAAAACCATAATAAAAAACTGTATTCAATAAAAATAATCTAAGTAGAATAGAAAAAAATTGTATTAAATAAAAAAGCCTAGGTGATTAAAAAATCTATAAAAAGAAGCCTGAGTAAATCACCTATAGTTAATAAAAAATAATCAATTAGAGAGACGGAATCAGATCATGTTGGTGAGACGTCCTCTTAAAAGATGCAAGCGTAGAATCGACAAGCGCATACAAAAGATGTAACTTTAAGCGTGTGCCAATGTAGATGAGTTATACCACGAACATTTTAATGTGCTTATAAAATAATAAAAATAATAATAATAATTTGAAAACGAATTGGTAGCTAGCGGATTTAAGAATAGAGCAGAGAGCTATTATATTAAACATGATGCGCATTTTTGAATGAATATGTTATATTATAACCGCAAAATTTAAGATTTCCGATCTACAGAAAATCTGTTAAATACTAACAAAAAAAAAATTTTTGATTTGAGAACAACTAAACAAATAAAATAGTTTTAAAAAACAAAATAAATAATAGTTATATAAAACTATTTTTTTTTTTTGTAAGTACCTATTTAAAAACTTTTTAATAAATTTTATTTTTAAAAAGTATTAAGATACTAATACTAGTATTCGAATAAATGGGTATTAAAATACTTTAAATGTATTTTTCGAATATTCACAGAGCATTTGAATACAAAGTATATTTTTTAAACTTTTATATTATCAGTAAAGATACTTACCTATTATGTTACTACTTACCTTAGATTTATGCAAATTGAAAAATACTACAACATGGCTGAAACATGGGGGGCTAGCGAAACGTTTTGCCAGCCCCCCCCCATGAATTTTTTGTTTTTCTAGGGGAAGGAAGGTCGTGCGAATTTTCAAACCGGGCGTGCGAATTCGTGCGAATTACGTGCTAAATATATTCTGTATAGTTTGTTTACAGTTTTTCCTTTGGGGGGGGGGGGGGGCTGGCAAAACGTACGTCAAATATGGTCATGTTTCAGTCTCGTACTGTTAATTTCTGATTGTGGAGATGTTAAATGATGATGCAATCGTTAAGGAATGTATAGTTATCTAATATTATTTGATATTGCGTAATATATTTTAATTGCTTTAGAGTTTTAACACCCAAGTATGATCGTTTTGGTATATTCATTCTATACGTTTATTTAAGTATATAATAGTATATTATTTATATATTACAATAGTGTATGGGTAATGCTTTGACAGACTCAAAATATTTGTATATTATATTTGTGTGACATATTATCTGGTTCCGCATAGTTTTGGCACTGATATTTGGTTGTTTGACCGAATGTCGTACGGTGCGTATATGCGTACCTCTTATGATGTATTTTGCACACTGTCTTTGGATTTTGGTAATATTGGTACAAGAAATGTATTTCGCATGTTAGGTGTCATCGTATTATCCTTTTTGGCAAAAATATACAATATACATAGGTATACAAAATAATAGTAAGTATATTATGTGTAATGTAATACCTACCTAACAAGATAATAATATTATAATATATAATATGGCAGTATTCTATAATATATAATATGTTAAATAATATAATAATTAACCAGTACACTAGTTAAAAAATGCATACAATCATTCATGATTCTATTTATTATTAAAAATTCATAAAATAAGTAATACAAAACCTAGAATATTAAAAATTAACAATAATAATATTGTTAAATAGGTATTATATACCTAACTGATTAGGATGTACCTACCTATATTAATATTTATTATTATGTGTAACACTGCAGTGTTGTAACAGCTGACTTACCTATCAATGTTAATGAAAGACAATATTTTATGGTTTGAAAACTGTGCTGTTGATTTAAATCTGTAAACTTTAAAAGTTTCTAAAGTTTTATGTTAAAAAAAAAAGTATGAATGATACCTCGACATAGGTTTAGGCTGACTTCAGAATTGTCTCACATCCATGAGTGAGCCATATTAGGGGTAGCTAAATATGTGTTACGAAGAACCCAATTTTAATCTGTATGCCCAGCTAAGCCGCTGAGATCTATTAATTACGCACTTTTTTCAAAGATAACAACATTCATAGGCACGCATAATATAATAACATTATCATGCTAAAAATATAAGGTAGGTATATTACAATATAGGTATTTAAAACAATAAATAAATATGATTTTTAGATTATGGTGTAAATATAGGTTAAAGTACGATAAATATTGGTGGTTTACCTATACATTAAAAGGTATAAAAATAAAATGGACTCATATTCCAAAAACAAAACATGCACGTAGTGGGTGGATGAATGAATGGTGATAGGCGATTTGGATACTCCTTGGCAGGTGGTTCGCTTACAGGACATCCATTCGGTTCCGTACAGTCGTTTTCTTCAATCTCCCAACTGCCGACTTCACAGGGGCCAAACTCAGGATTGCATAATGGCCGATGGACGGGCGAACTCAATCCTGGTCCTATATTATTTTATAGAAATGAGGTCATTTATATTCATTAGCTTATTTATAATATTTTTATTCAAGAGAAGTATTAAAAATTAAAATAAATAAAACTTAATATAAATAGTGATAAAAAACAAGCGTAATAAAATATTTGAACAAAACATAAATATTGTAAGATATTTTATTTAAACGAAATCACACTATAGGTAAACAACAACTGATGTACATCTCTAATGAATAGTAAAATAAAATCGTAGTTTGAATATAGAAATGTTTGAATAATTTATTAATCTAATATTTTTACAAATATTACTTTTTTAAAAAGTTAATAAATTATAATTTTTTGTATTAACGGTGAGATATTTAATATAATCCATCAGCAAATGAGAGTTATCTAATTCAAACATCGTAAATAGGTACATAATATTAATTAAAGGTAGTAATATGTATTACCTCAAATACATTTGAATTTATGAAAATAAAATAATTTGAATTGAATACCTAAATGAATAATTGAATTGCACAGTAAATAATTTTTGAAATAACATATGCAGATTGTTGGTACATACCAAAACAGATACCTAGGTATAGGCTAATTACCCGATATTTATACCGGGAGACTAGAGATATTATATATTATATAATTAAGCCTTTACTCAATGTCATTACTAACCTGTGATTAATATCAAAACCAAAAGATACTTGGTGTTCATGGTCAAAGTCAGGAGAAGTTATTAATATTATGTTTAATTCTTCGAAACAAGTCGTCAAACACTGAATAACATCAGTTCACATCGGCTGTTGGAATGAATGCTGGTATGGCCGCTATGTTATGGCAGAGCTAAGGTCAGACGAATAACTAATGTGCTACTACTGTCTTGTATGTCTATTAAAATATACTCATATAAAATGAAACTAAAATGTAAAGAATGTTTACGGCAGTGGTAGAAGGGGAATTATAATGCATAGGTACAAATGTTTTATTGACAGACGCCATATTAATCTTAAAAAAAAACAATACCATCACCACCTTACAACCTACTAACAGCTAATGGCCATAGATGCCGGGCTTAAGGATCAATAAAAAAAAATCTTAAAATGTAGCTACAAGCATTAAAATACACATTTAAGAAGTAATCATATCAACAGTCCATTGTTTACCTACTAATGGGCAAATAATATATATTTAATGTGTATGTATACATATTATAGTTCAATATAAAACACTTAGTCAATAGTCACGTTTCATTGGTAAAGTGCAGGAAACATTATTATCGTATCTACAGGCTACAGGCTACAATGCAAAAGACAAACATTTTATAATTTATAATTTTGTTCTTATATTTAAGTATTTAACAAGTATTTCAAGGTTATAAAACAAATATTAAAAATGGGACACATGTGACATAATGAAGTTTAACCTTAACCAAAAGCCAGTGACAACTACCTACACGTCACATTAGAGAGTTATGACTTATGAATCATACAAGTATCAAAACCTCCGAAAGTTAAAAATACAATTTTAAAAACTAATCTAGGTACCAATTTGGTATGTATGTAACAAATAATAACACCTAATGGCTAATCCATATATAACTATATACCTTGCGGTATTCAGTAAAAACGTTCCGCCACATTTTATAAGTCATAATTATTGCTCTAAAAGTGAAATCATAGCATAATATTTTCTTTTTTCACGGTACTATGGGTGAAGTCTGTTTTATATTACGTAGATTGTAAATTGTTTAATGTAGGTACAAGGTACCTACTTATCCACTTTTTTGCTTACCTAAAATCTTTATAGTACCTAGATAACTATGGGGAATGGTAAACTCCTACACATGTAGGTCATCTCCTACAAAGACATAGAGTTAACTCCTACAAAAGATAATGTTGACTCCTACAATAGATAGTTAACTCAGTTTTTGCGCATAGTTTTGGCATTGATATCTGGCTGTTGGACCGAATGTCGTACAGTGCGCATATGTAGGTGTAAATATTATATTCTGTTTTTTAATGCGATAGAAAGCCCGTTGTGTAATAATGTATTGGTGTTTCGTAACGTTCTTTTACTTTTATTATTTCTTTATGCCCAAATATGGTCATGTTTCAGTCTCGTACTGTTAATTGCTTATTGTGGAGATGTTAAATTATGATGTAATCGTTAAGGAATGTATGGTTATCTAATATTATTTTATATTGCGTAATATATTTTAATTGCGTTAGAGTCTTAACACCCAAGTATGATCTTTTTGGTATATTCATTCTATAAGTTTATTTAAGTATATAAGAGTATATTATTTATATATTACAAATTGCACGGAAGTTCGTTTTGACCGTGTCCTCATGGTGTATTTACGTTTACACAGTTGAAATACGGACAATTTGCAAAGTTTTACATATGGGTTTTTGAATACAATGTAAAAATGAGTTGGATATATTAAAGTATAGTTTTAAATTCTGTGATTTGTGTTTAACATTGAGTAATTCATGAAATTTACCTAACTTATAAGCTTATACATAGTTAATAGTTAATAGTTAATAGATCCTGGATCACATAATAAGTATTAGTTAAGACTATATGATTTGATTTACAATAATAAACGGTTGGCTGTGTTTAGAGTTATAAATAGTTATAATATTGTTTTTCTGTTTTTTTTTTTCATTTGAATAAGAAATAGTTGTGGATTTATGTGTGGGAAGATCTAAATGATAAAAATGGTAAATACAGTGGTTGTGTTCGTTTTTTGTTTGGCTTGGTATAATAATTTGATGTAAGTTTTTTCTAATGTATTAGCTTGTAAATGGATGTAGTTTTTTTTTACTTAACTTAATTATGTGGATCGTTATTGCTGGCGTTGGATGTTGCCTGTTGGTGTGATTTGTATTCAATCTGCTGAGTTGTCGGCTGAAGCTGTTTTGTTGATTAGTGTTATTGGTTGTGACTGGGGAGGTCGATGGTGCTTCAATTGTCGGTGTTGTTATGGTTGGAGTTACGAAGTATTTTGTTTGACTGAGGGTGTCAGTCATATATTTCTTGTGTTTACATAATACATAATATTAACTAGTTGTGAACTAAATGTCTTATTTTGCAATATAGGAATTTCATTATTTCTGTTTTTATGAATTTAATTGATTGTGGTTACTGTTTAATGTTATATTCGTCTAATAATAATTGTTGATTGATAACATCGGTTTATTAATGGCTTGTTATTTTGTAATTTACTCAGTTCTTTTTATTTTTATTTTTATTGTAATATAGAATGATATAAAATTATGATTAAATTGCTTTGATGGAAGCTACTTATAATTAGGTATTATATTGTTAGCCTTTTTTTGGTGTTAAATTAATATAATATTAAGTTGAATTTGTCTATTATTATTTTTATAGTAATATAATTAAATTATTTCTAATAATAACTACATAATATGATAGTATATTCCTTTATATTTGTAATTAGTATGAAGAAAATTATAAATATTTCAACTGGAGAATATTAAGTCAAGATTAAATAAACTACCTAATCTAATGAATACTAGGTACTTATAATATAATGTTTCTCTTTATTTTTTTTTTTTTATGTAAGTGGGTAATATTAAAATTATTTAATAAGTAATGAATAGTTCGTTCTTATAATATATTGAATTATAGTTAAATTGATCTAATAATGGCTAATATATTAAATATTCTAATATGGTTCCTTTTTTTGTGTTTTATAATGTATTATATGAATTAGGTTAGTATAATATTAGATTGTAATTAAATGTATTTAATAGTTATTACTGATTACTGATTACTTATAAGTACCTAGGTAATAATATTATGCCTAATGTATTCTTATTTGTTATAGATATTATTTTGTTTTAATATTAAATATTTAAATTGTATAAATTTGTAAACTTAGTTTGGATAGTTTCATTTGATAATTTCAAACTCGGAACTTGTGCCTAATAAAACATGCCTTACTGTCTGCACCACGGTGATCAGTTCGTAATATTGCTATGATTGTGTTACCTAGTCCTTAAATCTTAAGCATTTTTAGTTTATTTTAGTGTTATTCTAGTTTTTTTTTTTTTAATTTTTTTTTTTTCGATTAAAATGAAGTAATAAGATAATTAAGTAAAGTATTGTAGTAAGGAGAAAATAAGCTGGGAACCATTTAGTTGTAGGGGAAAATAGGTGGTATAGGGGAAGGTAATGGTTATAGGGGAGATATATGTGTGTTATAATAAATATTTAAATATTGGAGATTTCCGCATAAGATCTCCTTACTACTGTGTTGTACCTAACTGCCTAATGATATTTGAATTACTTACTTTTTATATATTTATATAAACATTCAAACACTTACCTCACTGCAGCTGGTTTTCTTTTAAGTGGTTTGTAGTTCTTCGGGGTCGTGTTCGACAATCGATATCACGATGACAATATATGTATATTCTTTTATGTGATCTGTAGTATTTCGTATACAATTTCTACCTGTGACTGTCACCATATGCTATCAAAATCTTTACATTCGTAACAGGAGTACGTATAGTCTCTCCGTCAACCGAATGCAATTTAAAGCGACGAATATTTGTTATTACACATTTATATCTTGAACTATCTTAGAGTTCCTACATTCGTGACAATGAGTACGTATAGTCCAATCGCCGACCGAATGTAATTTAAGTTAAGAGAATACTTATTACTATACTCGTGTTCTAAGATATAAATGTGCAGTAGTGATGTAACAGGCCTATAATATGATGATAGTCACAGAACCTTATGTTTTGAAAGATCAATGGATAGGTGATTGTAAAAGATGAACAATTTCAATTTAACTTATAGAGAGACAACCAATTTATACAGACATACCAGGTGAAGGAATGGTTCAATATACATATATTGTATACGCATAAACGCACAGTGATGAACACTCCTTTGGACAGTAGTGGAAAAAGATCGTGATGTTGACTGGCGTGGACGTTGTGCATGAGTCTTCTCCTGAAAGATACTGTGGCGAGTCGATTCTCTGTGGCCCTTATATAATATGATTTTGGTTGATCCCTTCTTCTTGTGCATGGATTAAAGTATTGATATATTTTTTTATTATTTCGTGTGGTGCGACAAAGTTACAGCTGGTAATTTATGGTTTTGTTTTGACCGAACGTCTTGATTGGAGAATTATCGAAGGGGACTTGAAATATATAATATGAAATGCTTAATAAAAGAATGCTTTCATGATTTTATAATATACGGTGTTTACTGGCGCCGTTGATATTTGATTGTGTTGTCTCCACTAAGCATCTGGTCGGAGAGGTGTAGAATATTATTTATGTGTTGCATGTGCTATTGTGATGCGTGTATGTAAAAGGAGTGCGTATAATGTATATATGTACCTAATGCGTACGCATATAATATGCATATCGGACCACCCACACTCCATAATATGGTCCGTTTTCATTATTTGTCTCGTGTTTTATTCTAAGTCTAAATATTATATATTACAGTATATATTTTAATATTAAGTTTATTTAGTATAAAGAACTACATGTAAAATTAATGGATTAATTAAAATAGTATCTATATAATTTATATTATAGTTATTTATTTAGTATGCATTGTGTATTTTATATATTTATCAAAATCTTTTTTTTTATTTGTTTTATTTTTTCTTTCGAAGTTTTTAGATAGTATGATAATATTGTTGGTATTTTGAGTATGGTTGTA